TATATTAAGTTCTGTGTCTAAAATGAGTGGTATGTCATCTTGCACTGCTTTGAGTGGATCAGGTGTGGGTACTTCCCTTTGAAAGAATTAAGGACCATTGATGTTACTGTTACTGATAACAACGAGCAATTTTAAAAATTCCTTCTTCAGCTAACAAAATTGTTAGATACAGTTTGACAAGGTCAGCAAAGTACCCAACTCCATCCAGGGGATAGTACTGCATAACATCAAACACGTCACAGACAGTGAACTGTGAACAAAGACATTTTGTTTATTTTCTCTAGATAGTAAAACTTCCAAACTGTTTATTTCACAGGAATCTGAACTTATAGAACTACGGGAAACCATTGAAATGCTGAAGGCCCAGAACTCTGCAGCCCAAGCAGCCATTCAGGGTGCGCTGAATGGTCCAGACCATCCTCCAAAAGGTATACTCAGAAATGCTGCTGTTTGTAATCCAATACAATAGAATCTATTTTATTTATTAGTTACAGTAAAGTTTCCATTACTCAATGCACTGCCTTTTAAGGTAGAAATAATTTGATTCAAACTCCAAGCATCGAGAGTAGTAGTTTTCATTATCAAATAATTTAGGTTTTTAATTTCCATAGTTACATACACACATTTTTCTCTACTTGAGGTAATAGAGATGGGGTTGAAGCATTTGATTAATGTATGCACATCTGACTTCAAGCAAAGCAAGTCTAGTAATGGATATGATAATCTGATATACACCAAAACGATATGATAATAAAGTTGTAGGCACTAGGAGCAAGGTCTTCTGGGTAGGGTCATTGAAAAGCTTCATTTTATGTAGCAAATTTTAAGGTGACAAAAAGTCAGCTAAAGGTTGGTCATTTCTTTATTGTTAGCCATGCTTCTGTGATCCCCTGTCTCCATGCCTCAGTTCGCCACTGAAGAAATGCTTAAGTCCTAAATCTTGAATGTCTTTCCTCTTTTCCTACTTCTAGATAAGTTCTGAGAAATTGTTTTGGACTAATTCAGCATCTTCAATTACTAACTGCCATTTAGCCCACTGGACTACACCCAGGATCCCCATCTCTCCAACAAATCTCTTCTGTCCATGATCACCAGTGGCTTATATGATACTAAATTCAGTAAAATATTTAAAATTCTTTTGGTATTAAACAGGATAAAAGATTTTGCTACTGATATCCAAACACTCCTACTTGAAACATTTATTTTTTGCCATCATAATTACTTATGCTATCCTAATTCTTTATGTGACATCATTTTAATATGTGCCATTGTGACATTTTCATATATATGTCATCATAGTTTGTTCTTTCCCTCACATGGTGCTTACTCTTGTCACCCTTCTCCTCTCTCTGCTTCTATGCCTTCCCCAAAATTGTTCCCCTGTCTGCTTTGATGACATACATGTTCTATGCTGCCCTGTCACCTCCCCTTAGGCTTCTTTCTCGTCCATCACTGTCACCTTCTGCTTTCATGGCCTATGTACATGTATAAATTTAAGTCTACATTTGGCATGAGAGAAAACATGATGTTTGTCTTTTGCATTTGGCTTTATTTCTTTTAACATAATGATGTCTAGTGTTACTCCTTTTCCCACAAATGTAATGATTTTATTTTGATTTATAGCTGAAGAAAATTTCACTGTACACATATACCAGATTTTCATTGGGCTTGCTCTATATCTTGGTAATTATAAATAGCGCTACAGTAAACATGGCTGTGCACATATCTCTGTGGTATGCAATCTTAGCCTGATGATATTCATTCTGACTAGAGTGTGATGGAATCTCAAAGCAGTTTAATTTCCATTTCTTGATGGTTGATTAATGAAACTGAATGACTTTATTCAGTATTTACTGCCCGTTTGTTTTTCTTTTGAGAACTGTTCTTTCAATTCATTAGCCCACTTACTGATTGAGTGACTTGTGTTTTGGTGTTTAGTTTTTTGAGTTCTTTATAGATTCTAAACATTAATGACCTGTTACATATATAGTTGTCAAAGATTTCCTCCCATTCTGTAGGCTCTTTACTCTGCTGACGGTTTCCTCTGCTGTACAGAAGCTGTTAAATGACATGCAATCCTGTGTGGGAAATGCTGGGATTATTTCCAGAGCATTGTGCTATTTTTATCTTCTAAATCTCTTTCGAAGTTTTCTTGTAGGTATCCATTAATTCTTCTGCATCCACTTTGAGTTATTGGTGACCTAAACTTTCTTCCACTGTAATTATGAAGCTTAGAGTTTATACATTCTATCTGAAATTCTATATGAACTCATTTACTACTCCAGCTATAATTTAATTTGTACTTAGAACTGCCCAATATCTATCTCCAGACAAAGATCAACTCTTGAGATGCAAGTCTATCTATCCAGATGACAATGAAGAAATCCACTTGGATAGCTTTGAATGTATTTTTGGCACCTTGAACTCAACAGTTCCAACCTTAATTTGTCATCTTTCCTGTCATAGCTGCCTCTCCTTCAGTGTTCCTTGCCTCGGTAATACTATTACCATCCTTCCTCAATATCCAGGAATGATATATGTCATTCATAAATGAAGCACTACTCTCCTGATTCAAGAAATCTGTGAGTTTTATTGTTTCCATGCCTTAAATATCTCTTGAATTGTTTTTTAAATCTATGATCCTACCATCACCTTCTACCATTTCTCCCCTGAACTATGACTACAAACTCCTGTATAGTCTTCCTTCTCTTAATTTTTTCCCATTTTAGAGCTGTAGATAGAGCTCAGTGGAAGAATGCTTGCCTACCATTTACAGCGCCCTTGGTTTAATCCCCAATACCACACACAGGAAAAAATTTTCCTATTTTACGCCATTATTCACATCAAAGGCAGAGAAGTCGTCTAAAATCATGTATCTACCAGGATTCCACAGTCTACTGTGAGAAATACAAATGCCTCAGTATGATATAACCTCTCATTGACAGCTTTATTTACTCAACAATTCTTGGTGCTTAGCAATTATATTTCAGAGGCTGTTCTTGACTGTGTAACTTGCTTTTTTTGTTACTGTACATTCTGTATTTCATCTATCCTCAATCCTAAATTTCTCTCTATCCTGAATTTCTATCTTGAATTTTTTTCTATCATGAATTTCTTTCAATTTTTCATTATATTCTTAATGCAGTTTCTTTACCTGAAATATTTTACTTTGTTTATTGAAAATAAACATTTGGAAAGCTGCAAGATTTAGTCAAAGTAGGTTTCCTTACCCCCTAAACTGGATGTGGCGCCCCTGTGATATATTTCTGGAAATTATATTAGAATATGCCTTTATCTTCCAATGCTATTAAGTCTGCATTTCCTGAATTATGGTAAAAATGAGTTTTGATTAGTGTCTATGGTGATGCCTTACACATACAGGAAGCTTAACCAAAGCTTAAAGAAAAGAACAACAAATCGAATATTATGTAGTTGAATTTAAATTTTAGGAAAAATACATAGAAGAAGATATGCTTAAACTTAAAGAAAAACTATCTTTCTTGGGCTACTTCTCTTAAGAATTCAGCAGCTTTCCATGTGGAGGAGTTGATTTATATGCTGCATGGAAAATTACTGCATATTTAAAGCTTATCTTAGAGCTATAATAAAGCAGCTTATGTTCTAAATCTTCATGTCCTAAATAGGTCCAGAAGGAATTTAAAAGGCTTAATCCTTTCTTTAATACAGCAAAAGTCACTGAAGTGAAACTTTCTGGAAAGATTCCATTTATTTTAGGCAACAGGTAGCTTAATGCATCTTCTGGAATTAAAACAAAGGAATTTCTTTGCCCAGAAATGTTGGAGGAGGAGTATTTAAAATGAACAAAATAATGCCATATCCAATCGGTCAAGAAATATTTAAAATATAAGAATGTTCCGTATTTAGGACTATCAAAAGCTAAATAGTTGACTATATGTAAATATGTAGATTATATTTCTAAAATATTGAAACAAAATTCTATGACTATAAACATTTGTATTTTATTGGCCATTGATGGGTCATGGTAAAAGCATTCAGTTGTACCAATTGTGCATCTTTTCATTGGTTGTTCAAGTGATTAAATAGCCTATACATTCATACTCTGAAACTTAAATTTTGTTTTTGAAACCTTTAAACTGTACTTTTCTATATATTCTTGGCATCTAGTTCTAAAGTAAATATGTGAAATGAAGTAACTCTTTTCTAGATGGGCCAAACTGGCCAAATCCTATACCTATTAATCTATCAATGTTTTTCTCTAAATTTACATATCACATTCATTACCAATCTGATAAATGATGTCTCCCATAAAATGATTGTATTTTTTATAAATATATTTAAGCATCTGTTTGTATTTGGCATTCTATTACTTCTTAAACAGTAAGATAAAAATGACTGACTATCCAAGTGGCTTCCAATATAACTCAATGAAATAAATACAAATATGTATTAATAGTAACATCCTAAATGCAAATTTGACTTTATCATAGTATTTCACTGGTAATATCAGTTCGTTGTAAGTAGATAACATTTCAATCTAAGATTTAATTTTAATAGCTATAATTATTATAAGCTAATTATTTGTGATAAGTGGTGCTTTCTAAATGTTAAATATCAAATGCCATTCTCCTCTAAATATCTTCTGTAAGTAGAAATACATGCCTTTTAGAACTATGATACAGCCATATTTCATGACCATTAACACAATGGATATCAGAATTAATATAGTTCTGAGGTACATACTGCTATTTTTCAGCTGTGTGACCATGTAGAAATAACATTTATTAAGTGATATGTAGAAATAACATTTATTAGTTCAACTATTTTATCACTTTAGTTTAAGAATAAAATTAATTGTGAGTCTCTTGGACTACTGTGACCAGCAACTTGAAGGGAGGTTTCTCTTGTCTGGCAATGGGATTTTTGTTAGATATCCTTTGGCTACACACACACACACACACAAACAAACAAACAAACAAACAAACACGTTATTGGAGAGAGAGAGATGAAAATGATGTAAATACAGTACTCATATGTGAAATTTTCACAAAGAAAATATTTTCAAAAAAAAATAAAATTAATTAACTATTCCAGAAGCATGCTAAGCATGTCTATCAATACCATTACTGTTCTACCTTGTAATCAGAGGCCAGATTATGTTGGAAGAATTGTACTATATTGAATTTATTATCTGTTTAATTTACAATCAGCCTACTTCCACACTGTCTTATACAGGAATTAAAGGTATACTCACATATATAGAAAGAGAAAGAGACGCAGATATTTATACAATCAAGAACTGTCTTGAAGATCTTCTTCTCATCTTTCTTTTAACCTTGAATGGGTTACATAATTTATTTTTTGTTTATTTTCCTCATCTCTGAGTTAATGTGCTTACATGACTTCCAAAGTTTGTTTTGGCTCTAATCTGGTATGATTCCATGAAATGGAATGTATATATGTGGCTTTATTCAAAACAAAAAAATATTAAAAAGACATAGTTCATTCTCATCCTATTGTGAGTTTCCATTTGCTCCACGGAACTAATCATTTGGAACAAATCATTTCGGGAGTGTTTTGTGTTTTGCAGGTATTTGGTAGAATTCACAGATTAACATTTCAATTTGGGACAAAACTTACTGGGGCCATAGACTCATGAGATTCCTATTGAATCTTCATGAAGACAAGTCAGTTAATTAAAGCAAATATGGTTATATCTTACTAAATGTATTAGACAAAAACTGCCCTGGAATGATCTGCAGAAAATCTTGTTGAGCTTCAAAGCCTCAAAGAATTGTGTGTTCTGATTGAGGTCCTGAGCTACTGTGACACCCTTTGTCTGTTGCTAGATCTCCGCATCCGAAGACAGCATTCCTCTGAAAGTGTTTCTAGTATAAACAGTGCCACAAGCCATTCGAGCATTGCCAGTGGTAATGATGCTGACTCAAAGAAAAAGAAAAAGAAAAACTGGGTAAGGCATCCTCACTCATCTAATTCAGTAGCTTGTTACTGCATGATGACTCAGGTTTTTTCTTTCGGAGCTTTAGAAATCTTCGGTAGTTGACAGAGCCCCATTCAGGGATCAACACCTCAGATGCTGTACTTTTCCTGAGATTAGGGTGCATTGGTGCTGAAGAACATGCGTGCTGGAGTTAGGACTGAGAGCAGGCGTTTATTATGAGGATGGAGAGGAGGAAGAAGAAAAAGATGGTGATAACAATGGAGGAGATGGTGGTGATACAATAGGAAAAGTGGGGATGGTAAAGAGAGAAGAAAACTTGAAAGCTAACCATGCCCCTTCCCCCTGGATTCTACAGAGCATTCAATGAACAAAATTCCAGCCTCTAAGAAGTCAATGACAGTGTCTACTTGCTTACTTTCTTTTTACCAACAGAACATCATAGAAATATAAAAATAGACTTTTAAAGAACTATGCCTTAAATTTGTTAGAGCTATTTTTGTCATAATTTATGATAATATTAATTAGTCACTAAAAAACTTAAGGGAACATGCTGTCACTGAAGAATATGAAAGAACAGAATTTCCATTAATATTATGAGACAAAGGTCAACTTTTGCATAAGTACAATTCTTGATGAAATCCAAAACAAAACTATTAGAGAATTTTACCAGTGCTTCCTGTAAATAATGAAAGAAAATATCTTTTTTGTTTTAAAAAATGTTTGTGCAGGTAATATTTTAAAATACTGATCAGCCTTCATTCCCTTGATTTGTAATTCCACACTCTTTCATGTTTCTGCAAGGTGAACTCTAGAGGAAGTGAGGTGAATATAAACCATGAACCATTTGGCATGCATCTATACAAAACACCCTACCTTGGCATGAATGCTATTCATTTTGGCAGTAGGCTTTTATACCTTTTAAAAACAGATTACCTTGTATGTCTTTTCTTTATGCCTTTTCATTTTAATCTCAAATTTTCAAGAGAAGAAAAACCACTTTCTGAATAGAGCTGTAGGGGATACCAATTCTGATTTTGAATAGTCTTGGAATTGGAAATTTGAATAGAAAATCACAATTAATGAAGTGTTAGTTGAATTTGATTTCATTTTGCTTTTTAAGTTGGTACTGTCAGCAGGATATGACTTGATTGTAGCGCTAAAGTGGCCATTTAAAACAAATTGCCTTGAAGAGAGAAGCATTGGGAACAGAGATCCCTTCAAGGTACTTAGTTTTAAATGAGTGCTCTGACAGCCATGCCCTTGACCTTGCACTATTTAAAAGCCCTCCGTGTTTGCGCTGTGCTGGATTAATACAAGAACAAAAGGAAAACACAGAACACAGTATTAATGGGTTTTTTGTTTTTTAGAAATACTGTGCTGCCATTGTTAATACCCTGCTTACATATACTGACCCCAGGCAGTGGCTAGGATGGCACCTGCAAACTAACGCCCCAAAGCAAATGCCCTCCAAGTTCAAATGGACAAGAAAGGTAACTTGCATCCTTCTTTCAGCTGAGAAGCTCTTTCAAACAAGCCTTTGGGAAGAAGAAGTCCACGAAGCCTCCTTCTTCACATTCGGACATTGAAGAGCTTACAGATTCCTCCTTGCCAGCATCTCCCAAGCTCCCCCATAGTGCTGCTGACTGCGGTTCCACATCCATGAAGCCCTCTCAGTCTGCGTCAGCGTAAGTCACTCCTTTTGCAGAGTTCCAACTGTAAGAGCGAGACCACTGAGGACAAGTCAGTCTTTGGGTTGCAACAGCAAGAGGTTTATTTAGGACACAGGTACCTGTGGGCACAGAGTCTCCTCGGAGGACTTGCGCACCCCAGGTTGAGTTCAGGGGGTTTTTATAAGGCAGAAGCAGGGTACAGAAGCAGAAACGTGGTTATTGGTTAATTTCAAACACACATAGTAATTTCACCAGTAATTTCAAAGGTATGCAGAGGTATGGGGTAAGGTCCGGGGCTAAGGGGAAATAGGATTGCTAAATGGGAGGTGACCTCAGAAGCACAGACGTTTTCTAAAGATTTCCTGGTATCGGGCCCCCAGGGTGGTCAGGAGTTCTGTCTGTAAAACTTGTTTATGGCTTAATCTGTGAAGCTTGACCGGTGCCTGCCTGTCCTGCAGCCTTTTGATAAGGCTGGTTCTGGTTTTTGTTAAGTTTTAACAAGTGGGCTGTGGGCCCCTGAGCACTCATGGCGCCTAGTTTCTTTTTATTTTCTCAAAGGTCAACTGATTGGGTCATTGGGGTAACTGACTCTCTCCTTGATGAGTGTGGGAAGGAGGTGTGACTATAGCTTGCTGTCACAGTAGTTGGGAGGACACTTCCAGGTAACACTCCACCCGTTCCTCCACCCACTAACCTCTTCCACAAAAGTCCCTAAGCCTTGGAGGGAGTGGT